TACTTTTCTACAGTGGCGATTGCCAGTCTGGACCGGCTGCGCGGCGCCAAATCTGCCCGCCAGCAAGCGGTGCAGAGCAAGTCTGCTTTGTCATGCTGGGAGCTGTGCGCCGCTTCTCGCAAAAACACAGCCGAGCATCGCGTGTTTTTTGAACCCCAGCACAGAGGCCCATGACGGCCCAAGCAACCTCCAAAATGGCCCCAAGACGGCCACAGAAACACTCAGAAGGCCTCCGTGACGGCCCAAGCGGGCCCTAAGACGGCCCAACTCAAGAGGACCCCAAGAAAGCCCCAAAACGGCCGCGAGAGGCCCCCAGACCGGCCTCCGCATGGGCCACACGCCGCAAGAGCGCCCCAAGATGGCCCAAGACGCCCCCAAGAGGCCCCAAGAGGCCCCAAAGAAACCCAGTGCAGAAGAGGCCCCAAGAAGCCCCCAAGACACCTTCAAGAAACCACAAAGAAGCTCCCAAGAGGCCTCGCAACGACTGGACTGTGCGTGCTCCGGACGTGCACCCCGCGAAGCGAAAATAATCACTTCGAATGATTTTTTTTTCGGGGGGGGGGGGGGGGGCCTTTTGGGCCCTTTTTGAAAAGACCGAAAACCATGCCGTGGCATGGCGCTGGAAATAATGACACCAGTGCTGCAGCGGGAGCACGATTCGGAAGCGAAAGCGCGAAAATGAAGCCAGCGCTGCAGCGGGAGCAAGATTCGGAACGAGCGGTAGCCCGAAAATGAAGCCAGCGCTTCAGCGAGAGCAGCAATTAAAACACAAATAAACGAACATCCGATTCCCAATAATCCTGTCCGTATAAAAAAATACCATGGCGACGTACCCAACCCCTGCGCAAACGCGGGGTGCACATAGTTTAGGAAACTTTATAAAAAGGGGCGATGACGGAGCGAGGGTTACATATGTCTGCAGACGGAATTCGGGAGACTCGCAGGACACTGGCTACAGGACAAGGACTTGATAAAGCTGATCAGTTGCAATCCCTGAGCACCCCTAGCCACTTCGAAAGCGGGGATCTCATATCGCAGCCCCTGAGAGATGGCGAGGTCTAACTTGAGTCTGCGGCGAGGTCCCAGAAACAATAACGGTTCGAGGATGATGTGATCGAGGGCCTGAGAGCAACTCACGAGGGGGGCGTCTCGTGGAGACCAAGCTGTTTCTTTCCGCTGCGCCCCCTGCAAATGAGGCGCAAAGTGCCTTCACCTTTTACGTGGTGCAACTCTTTACCCAGCGGGTTCCAAACAATTTGATGCAGCATAAACGCAAACACATGTCATTGAACTACTACTCGCCAGGCTCCCTGAGAGCCCCCGCTGAGCAGGCCCTCCCAGCAGGCCTCGAAAGTGGTGACAGTTTCACAGATCGCAGCCCCCCCAGGGATGGCGAGGTCTAATTTGAATCCGCGCGTGGCCCTCACTGCGCTGGGCCCCCCAGCAGGCCTCGAAAGTGGCGACAGTTTCACAGATCGCAGCCCCCCAGGGATGGCGAGGTCTAATTTGAATCCGCGCGTCGCCCTCACTGTGCTGGGCCCCCCAGCAGGCCTCGAAAGTGGCGACAGTTTCACAGATCGCAGCCCCCCAGGGATGGCGAGGTCTAATTTGGGTCGCCCGTGGCCCTCACTGTGCTGGGCCCCCCAGCAGGCCTCGAAAGTGGCGACAGTTTCACAGATCGCAGCCCCCCCGGAGATGGCGAGGTCTAATTTGAATCCGCGCGTGGCCCTCACTGTGCTGGGCCCCCCAGCAGGCCTCGAAAATGGCGACAGTTTCACAGATCGCAGCCCCCCAGGGATGGCGAGGTCTAATTTGAATCTGCGCGTCGCCCTCACTGTGCTGGGCCCCCCAGCAGGCCTCGAAAATGGCGACAGTTTCACAGATCGCAGCCCCCCAGGGATGGCGAGGTCTAACTTGAATCTGAGCGTCGCCCTCACTTTGCCGAGCCCCCCAGCAGGCCTCGAAAGTGGCGACAGTTTCACAGATCGCAGCCCCCCCAGGGATGGCGAGGTCTAATTTGAATCTGCGCGTCGCCCTCACTGTGCTGGGCCCCCCAGCAGGCCTCGAAAGTGGCGACAGTTTCACAGATCGCAGCCCCCCCAGGGATGGCGAGGTCTAATTTGAATCTGCGCGTCGCCCTCACTGTGCTGGGCCCCCCAGCAGGCCTCGAAAATGGCGACAGTTTCACAGATCGCAGCCCCCCAGGGATGGCGAGGTCTAATTTGAATCTGCGCGTCGCCCTCACTGTGCTGGGCCCCCCAGCAGGCCTCGAAAATGGCGACAGTTTCACAGATCGCAGCCCCCCAGGGATGGCGAGGTCTAATTTGAATCTGCGCGTCGCCCTCACTGTGCTGAGCCCCCCAGCAGGCCTCGAAAATGGCGACAGTTTCACAGATCGCAGCCCCCCCAGGGATGGCGAGGTCTAATTTGAATCTGCGCGTCGCCCTCACTGTGCTGGGCCCCCCAGCAGGCCTCGAAAATGGCGACAATTTCACAGATCGCAACCCCCCCGGGGATGGCGAGGTCTAATTTGAATCTGCGCGTCGCCCTCACTTTGCTGGGCCCCCCAGCAGGCCTCGAAAATGGCGACAGTTTCACAGATTGCAGCCCCCCGCAGGCAAGACAGGAAGAGGCAGGGAGGGAGGGAGGAGGAAAGAAGGAGTGGTGACCACACTGCTCTATTCAAAACGAATACAGGGTTGGGAAAAAACATACGCGGAGGGGGGCCAAGTATTTCCTGGACGCCACCAGTGGAGAGAGGAGAGTAGTATTCATATAGTGTAACTGTGGAAAGGGGAGGGGGGGATAAGGGGCACGAGGGCGGGGCAGGGAGGAGGTGAGGGACAGCAGAGGATAGCCCCACGACGGTGCCACCTACAAGAGCTACCTTCAAGCCCTCGCTGCACGTCGAGCTCGCGCCGCATCCTTCGGCCAGAGACCTGGAGCGACACGCCGCAATCGCTCCTGCCACGTGCTCGAGACGCCTCTCTTCGCGCGGAAGGGGCGCCTTGGGAGCAGCGGGGAAGGGCGAGGTAGGCCTGCCGCGCACCTGGAAGGTGCCCCCGCGGGCCTGGCCCGCGACCTCTCCCTCCCGCCGCTCCCTGCGCAAACCTCCGCCCGCCCCCACCCGATCGACTTGGAGCCTCTGTAAGAACGGTTTTTTGAAGGCAGATCTGCCTTCAAAAAGGAAAGACTGGTCTACTCTGTAAGCACGGTCTTTTGAGGGCAGACCTGCCTCCAAAAAACCGTTCTCACAGAGCAGGCCAGTCTTTCCTCCTTGCAGGTAGAGTGCCGCCCCCTCCCCCCCATCCCCTGCCCTCTGCGCTTGGCAGGAGAGAGAAGTCTGCACAACCCATGCACTTCCGGAGCTCCGCGCGGCTGTCTCGGATCGGCGCCAGTGGGCCCCCCTCCCTGGCGCGCGGAGCGCGACAGGGGCGGCGCCGGAGGCGCCGCCAGGGGGGCCTAGCGCCGATCAAAGAGGTCCGCGCGGAGCTGCGAAAGTTTACGTTTATGCGGCTGTTCCTTCTTCGAGCGCTGTTGTGCCCACCTGCCCTCCTCCTCCTCCTCCTCCTCCTCCTCCTCCTCCTTCTCCTCCTCATCTTCCTCCTCCTCCTTCTCCTCCTCATCTTCCTCCTCCTCCTCCTCCTCCTCTTCCTGCTCCTCCCCTGCCCCCTGCGCTGCTGCGCCCTCCAGCCATCCTTTGTCTCGGCCCACCCTCTCGGGAGACTCTCCATGGGGGGGGATCCCATGGGGGGGCAGGAGGGGATCCCCCCCATGGGATCCCCTCCTGCCCCCCATGGGATCCCCAGGGGATCCTATGGGATCCCCCCCCTGGGATCCTATCCCCCCATGGGATCCCCCCCCATGAAGAGACTCCCGACCTCCTCGTGCCCTCCTGTTTTCCTCCTGGGCCCGCGCCTCTCTCGCTCTCCCCTCGCCCCGTTCCCAGCAGGTCTCCCGCCGCAGCCTCGCCCCAGTCCTGCCTGCCTCGGGGGGGGCGAGGGCGGCACGCTGATTGGACGGGGCACGGAACGCAGAGACACCATTGCTATGTGTCCTCCTCGGAGGCGTGCGTCCGACCAGATCAGTTGCCTCAAACCGATTCTAAGACATACTTAGATGTGAGTATATTTGTATACACGCGTACATCATATGTATATATACACACATGCATGCATACATACATACATACATACATACATACATACATACATACATACATAATCATGTGTATATATACACATGTAGACTGTTTCCCGAGCAGTATGGCGGGAAAGCGCCCACCACAGAGCTTGTTATAAGAAGATTCAGCGCGCGCGTCGCCTGGTGGGGCGATGCACGCTTAGTATCAGTGTGTCGGTGTGACGCCGAAGATATGGCATATCGAATCCGCGGGGCTGCGGAGGGGATTCTTGCAGCCGGTGGGTATCTGCCAGTGGAGTCTGGGAGCAGCAGCACCAGCACATGTCGCACCCGCTCGGGCTCGGCCTCACACGCCAAGTCACTTGTCGTCCCAAAAACGCGTGCCAGGGCCGCAGCGGAGGGGGAAGGGGCAGCAAAGGTGGGAAGAGGAAGGCGCACGGGGGGAGGCCAGCGCGCGTTCCGTCGTCTTTCCAATCCCCCACCTCCCTTGGGGAGGGAGTAGGTCGAGCTGCGATGAAACTCCGAAGAGCACGAAGATGTAACATCAAGCCAAGTGCAGGGCAAACAGCTTCACTCGGAGATGAAAGGCATAGTGCTCAGAGAAGCGGCCCCTCCATTGGTAGGTCGGCCAGGGAGGGGAGGAAGGACAGGATGAGGGTAGAACTGAGATGAAACTGGGAAGAACATGAGGACGTACCATCGGATTATGAGCGGGGCAACCAACTTCACTCGGAGATGAAAGGCATAATGCTCCGAGTTCCACCGTTGGTAGGCCAGCTCGAAGCCACCTGTTAAGAAGCTCCACCTATATGGGAGGCCAAAAAACACTCTTAGGGTACCCGAGCAGAAGACGCGGCTCCTGGCACCTTCTCTGCCTCGTAGCTCAGCTGCCCGTTCACCTCCAGGCAGAAGGGGAAAAGAGAGAAAGCCGTGCGCTCATCCCGAGACTCCTCCCTTCCCGTGCAGTAGCCCTCCGTTCGGCAATGAGGAAACACAGTGGCCAATACTGAAGGGGCCCCAGGACACACAAATAAATACACACAAATAAAATGATTACCCATATTTTCCCATATTTTCTGGGTTTTTGTCTTCCCCACCACTTCCCATAATTTCCCATATTTTTGGGGGAATTGACGATTAATTGTGTCTGTGTGTTTTCTTTTCCTCCTGAAATACTGAACTTCGCTCCCAGTCTGGCCAGGAACGTCGCGGCAATGCCCTGCTGGGACCCCGCGGAACGCAGCGAAGGGGCCGTGGGAGGAGCCTCGCGCTGCCAGACCCTGCGAGTGAAGGGGCCCCAGGACACACAAATAAATACACACAAATAAAAATATTCCCCATATTTTCCCATATTTTCTGGGTTTCTGTCTTCCCCCCCACTTCCCATATTTTCCCATATTTTCTGGGGAATCGAGGATTCATTGTGTCTGTGTGTTTTCTCCTCTCCTGAGCGAGGGCGGCGGCTCGCCGTCGCCTCTGCCCCCCCCCGGTCAAGACGGCCGGTGCTGAGCCCCAGGCCCCCCCGGACTTTGGCCCCCCTGGGGCCCTCGAGCCAGATGACCATGGGACGCCGACGTGCCGGAGCCGTCCGCGAGGCCCCCGAGGCCGGAGCTGGCCCTCCGAGAAGCGAGCTCCCGCCCTGACGGCTCCGTCCCGGTCCCCCCCTTCCCCCCACCAGCCCCTCCTCCTCCCCCTCCTCCTTCGACTCCTCCTTCACCTGCTGCTCCTAGACCCCCGGGCCCTCCCTCCGTCCCTCTTCAATGCGCCCTCCTCACGTCGATCTACCACTCCCTCCTCCTGCCCTCGCACTGCTCCGTCCGCCCTCCTCCCTGCTCCCTCCATCCTGGTCTCTGTGCTCTCATCCTTCTTCCGCATCTCCTCGCACGCCCTCCCTCGTGGCACGGGCGCGGCCCCTGCCGCTTACCCCCCGCCTCCTCGCAAGCAGGTCTGGCGACGCCGGAGTCGGGCCTCCCCAGCCCGACGACCTTCCCACCTGTCATCCTTCCTCCCCCCCTCAAAGACCTCCGTGGGGTCTGCTCCCCACCCCCTCGTTGTGCCGCTGCGCCCCGCCCTCCTGCTCTCTGCCCCCCCCGCCCGTCCCTGCCCCCCTGCCTCTCCTCGATCTCCTCTCTTTCCCTCCCCTCGTGCTCCCCCGATCCCCCCCCTCCTGCCTCGCCGGTGCCCAGAGTCGCGCCAGAAGCCCTATCCCTGGGCTCCTCTCTGCCCCCTCCTCTTCGCCCGGCGTCTTCACACCTCCCCGCGCCTCCCCCCAGGTCCTCTTTGCCCGCGGCTCCGCTCCTCTCCCTTCGTCTCATGGCAACTTCCTCGCTCCGATCTTTCGTTTCCCGCGTCTCTCCTGGCCCTTCTGCCGCTCTGATCGCCCTTTCCTGCTCTCCTCGTGGGAGCGGGAAGATGGAGAGGAGCAGGAGGAACAGGTTGGATGCTCGTGATTAGGCCAAGCGCTCGAAAGGCGTGAGCCCGAGGGCGGTGGCCATCAGCACGTAGAAGATGGCGACGGTGAGGAGATCGACCGCACCCACCGTTGCACCCAGCCTCCTGAGCGAGCAACGACATATGTACATGTACGCCCTCCGCGATCTTGAGTGCACGAACGTCCTCGTTCAAATGCCCTCCCGGGGAAGCTAACCGCGTACGTGTACATATGTTGCTGGCCTCTGAGAAGCCCAGTCCGGGCCCCGCTCTGCACGAGCCTCGGGCCGCGGGAGGCCACGTCCCCGCCGAGGGCCGAGCTCGAGCGGGCCCGTGGAGGGCTGGGCGGTGGGCGCGCTCGGTCTCCTCGGAGGGGTGCCGCGCTATGAGGCCCAGCAGCCAAGTGCCGAGGCGGCGGCACAGCTCCCTCCTCCTCCTCCTCCTCCTCCTCCTCCTCCTCCTCCTCCTCCTCCTCGGCTCCCTCGCCTTCAGCACGGCGGTGCAGCACACGTTGCACGCCGCGTGCACGGAGCAGACTCGGCAGGTGCCAGGTCGTCAGCGTGATGGTGGCGAGCGTGCACGCGACCTTGGAAACACCGTCGCCGCGCAGATGTATGGGATCTGGTCCCTGGCGTCGGAGCTCGGCTCGGGGAACGCTGCGGTCCAGGAGCACAGGTCTCCGAGGCGGAGCAGGTTCCGCCAAGTGGGCAGCAGGTCTCTGCCCCGACCGCGAGGAGCGGGCTGTGCCCCGCCGCCGAGGAGCCCATGAGCAGCAAGGACCAGGCGGCGAGGCAGCACAGGCTGCAGAGCCGCGCTAGGAGCCAGCCGGGGCCGTCGCGCGACGCGCCGGTGGCGTCGAAGGTGCTCG